GTTGTAATGTGACAAAATATGGAAAAGTTCAAGGGGTATGAATACTTTTGCAAACCACTGTAACTTCATTTCTGGACTTATGGTTTGATTTCTTTGTATGTATGGATCACTTGGGTTGTTACCGACATCTGGTGAAAATTTCATGTCATTAGCACCTCTAGTAATATATTTACTGAGAAAAATGGTGACGTGTTCAATAAGGTAGTGTGGGAGACACAGGAATACATTGTACAGAACAGTCATATAATAAAATACAAAAATGTAGACAAATTGAACAATAGGGTTGTGGGGGGAGAAACAGAAGTGTGGAAAACAAAAACAGACATATATTGAAAATAGGAATTAACAGCGGTAGGCTAATTTGAAAATATGTGTCTTCAGGCCAGTCTTAAACAGGGAAAGAGAGGTGGTATTGCGTAATCCATGGGGTAGTGAGTTCCAGAGCTGTGGAGCAGAGCGGCTGAAAGCTCTGCTCCCCATGGTGCTGAGGCAGGCAGGGGGTACTGAGAGTTGAAGGGAAGAGGCAGATCTTAGAGAGTGGGAGGATGTGGAGATGTTCAGGAGGTCACACAGGTAAGGAGGGGAAAGGTTGTGGATAGCTTTGAAGGTGAGTAGGAGAATTTTAAAGATGATGTGGGATTTAACTGGGAGCCAGTGGAGCTGTTGTAGGACTGGAGTGATGTGGGCAGATGATGATGTTTAAGTGATAACACGGGCTGCTGAGTTCTGGACAAGCTGTAGCTTGTGAAGATATTTATTGGGGAGGCCAAACAGTAGGGAGTTGCAGTAGTCGATCCTGGATATTACTAAGCTGTGTACAAGGATGGCAGTAGAGCGGGGGGTGAGTGAAGGAAGGAGACGGTTAATGCTGCGAAGATGAAAGTAGGCAGATAGAGTCACGTTGTTAATGTGTGAGTTGAAAAAGAGTGTGGTGTCAAAGATGACACCTAGGTTCTTGGCCTGAGGCGAGGAGGAAAGAACGGAGTTGTTAAGAGTGAAGAGAAGATGCTGGGATTTGGAAATGGAGTTTTTTGTCCCAACAAGGAGGAGTTCAGTTTTGTTACTGTTTAGTTGGAGGAAATTGTTAGAGAACCAGTTGTTGAGCTTACTGAGGCAGTTGGTAAGAGTGGAGGATGAGAAGGTGGAGTTCGGTTTTGTTGAAATATAGAGTTGAGTTTCATCGGCATAAGAGTGGAAATGGATACCAAATTTATGGAAGATGTGGCCAAGCGGGAGCAGATAGATTATGAAAAGTAGAGGCCCGAGTACAGAACCTTGGGGAACACTGATGGAGATGGGTGAAGACTGGGAGCAGAAGGACTTGAGTTGTATGAACTGAGTGTGGTCGGAAAGATAGGATTTAAACCAGTCCAGGGGGTTGTCTGAAATGCCAATAGAGGTTAGTCTGTCGATGAAGATAGGATAAGAGACGGTGTCAAAGGCAGAGCTCAGATCAAGGAGGATGAGTATTGACAGAAGTCCTGAGTCAGCAGCAAGGAGAAGATCATTAGTAATTTTAATAAGAGCAGTTTCGGTGCTGTGATGTGGTCGAAAACCTGATTGAAACTGTTCATAGAGGTTATTGCTGGAGAGGTGTGAGTGTAGCTGATTAGCGACGACTTTTTCAAGAATTTTGGAGATGAAAGGCAGATTAGAAATGGGACAGAGGTTATTGAAGTTAAGGCTGGTTTGTACTTCTTGTCACACGTCTTTTACCACCTGCTGAGTGAGAAAAAGTTGCGCAACTTCCATTTGCACTCCCGCTGCTATCCCCCGGTGACAGCTGTCCTATACATTGCCCACAGTCAGCACTCCGAGAAGCGGCGGATGCGACGCGGAGTGTGTGATTGGTTCAAAGTTTGTGGGCGTTTTTGTGCTACGTGACGCCACTACCCGCTACTCGCTACTCACTACCAAAAGCCGGTTTTTCTTTTTAAACATGGATATTTTCGAAGAGAAAGTCACCGAGGCGGTCCAGAGGTATAACCATCTGTGTCCTCTACTGCGTCGGTGCGTGCTGAAGGTGAGAGGCGATCCAGTGGGCAAAAAAAAAAAGGATCCGGTGGGCAAGTTCCTCAAAACGAGCAGCGGACATTTGAAAATAGGAGGTGTTTTTCATCATTCATCTCCTGCATCTCCCGCACAAGCTAAACTCGCAACCAGCAAGTTTTTAAAAATTTTTCTTAGCAACTAGCAGTTATTCACATGCTAAGCTAGCGCGTGATGTCTGCCGTGGGAGGGCAGAGGGAGGGATTACTATAATGTATCCTTTATGTCTTTTCCCAGTATAAACACTGAATGCTGTCGGTGACACACACGCAATTACGTCATCGCTGGGCTGCAGCCGCACGTCTTGCGTGAAGTATAAACAAACCTTTTGTTGGATCTAGACCTGTTTTCTTTATGATGGGGGTGATGGCAGCTGAATTAAAAGCTGTGGGAACAGTACCAATGGTCAGAGAGAAGTGGATGATGTTAGTAACCGTGTTTCCATCAAGGCTTTTTGATGCGCATTTAGAAGTGTCGCAATAAAAATGCGCAAAAAAAGTCGTATGGAAACAGCAAAATTCAAAAAAAAAAATCCTCAATTCGCTAAAAGGTTTTTACGCTCGCTTGAGGTGGTTTTTGGGTTTTTCGAAAAACACAATGTGCAAAAGGAGAGATGGAAACACTTTTGCTGAATAAGTTGTGACGTAGCAAACATTTACCTCACATAGCTGATCAGCTGTTCCCCGGTACCGGTATCAGTTTCGGGTCGGCTGCAGCCGCGACTGGCAGCAGGACCCTCCTCCCACTGTTTGCATCTTCTCAGCAATCCCGTAATGTGAAGAAAATTGCATTTCTTTCTCTACGTCTCCAGACAGCATGTAACATCGCCAAAACTAGTTGATAACAGAATAATTACAACTTTTCTTATAGTAGCAATGCGTTCCTGATAACTTCTCTCCATTTTCCTGAGATGTGTGGACCCTGCGAGTTTAGCGACGGTTACTTCCTGTTTACTACGCACATGCGTATGATGTAATTGATTCGCTTCAAGCCAGTTGATGGAAACTCCATCTGATTTGCATTTCTTAATTTTTTCCTTTTTGCGAAATTATTAAAATTCGCTCAAAATTCTAATTAAAATGATATGAACCGGTCTTTGAACTCTGAATTAATGCCAAACTCAAAAACAGTTTTACAGATTTTATTGTTGATGTGCAAGGCTTTGGTGTGATTCTGGATCAGGACATCGAGTTGGACTGGAACTTCTGGACACACGAAAAAACCATTAACAAAAGAGTCACTGTGAACTTTGACTGAGAGAAGATACAAAGCCACTGACCTGTGTTCGTGTGGGTGTTCCATACACAGTCACTGATTTGAGTTGACAGGGTCCGAGCCCATGTGATGTCGTCACCGTTCAGAATTGTTTGGGGTTTGAGTCCAACAGACAAGAACTGGRTCCAGGGATAAGCAAGGATCAGAATCAAAAGAATTACCAGACTTAGTGGGGCAGGCTTGAGTCGTGGGTCCGTAAACTGAGCAGGGGTCGAGAGCCGTGTAATCCAATGAAGTGTCGCGCCGATGAGGGAAAATCCAAGAGCCGAAAAACCAAGAAGTGATGCAGGAGTCGTTACCGGGTAAGCAGATGACAGGAGGAATCCGACGAGGGCAAAGGCAGAGATCATGAAACCGAGGAGCATGAGCAGGATCAGGGAACCAGGACTAACGAGGGACAAGGTACAAGATAGCGGGAAGTTCATAGCAGAGCACATGAAAATCTGGCAGAGACTGAGAGTTGATGACAAGGCTTTATACTGGGAACTACAGGTGAGTTGCATGAAGCTGATTGCATGAAGGCGGGGCTGTGGTRAACTGGYGATGGGAGGGGGAAAAACACTGAGCAGAAACAGGCTGAAGCTGTGAACAAGGGATGTTAAAAAATGCATGACATGACTAAGGAAATAAAACAAAGGACTGAGGTTAAGGCTGTGGCATAAAATATAATCAGGTTAGGAATCACAAGGCTGGCAAGGTGGATTCATAACATAAAATTGAATGGAAACATGGTTAGTGATGATAGGAAGCAGAGAGGGGAGACAGGATTTAACCAAAGCTGTGGGGATGGGATCTAGCTGTGAGGAGGAGGATTTGGACTTCCTAATGATGGCAGATACGTCAGCAGCAGAGGGGAGATCGAACACAGAGAGGGGGATGGAGGTGGGTGGGAGTTCTATAAAGATGTTGGGGGCAGAGTTTGGCCCGAGGTGTTGGTGTATGGAGCTGATTTTTTCAGTGAAGAATGACATGAGCGAGTTACAGCAGTCAGTAAAAAGCATGTGAAGGGTTAGAGTTCGGAGATGAAACTGTGTGGTTAAGGAGAGAGAAAAGAGTCTGTGTGTTGCCTACATTGAAACTGATGATGTCAGTGTAGTAGTTAGATTTGGCCTGAGCGATACTTTCTTTGTAATGTAAGGTGTGGTTTATGTACATCTCTTTGTGAACTCTAAGACCTGATTTCTTGTAGAGCCGCTCTAGTCTGCGATCTTGTGTTTTCATGGAGCGAAGTTCTGAGATGAACCATGGAGCAGAAGAGGAGAAGTTAGTTGAGGTAAAGGTGGAGAAATCGTTGTTAATCTGAGAAAGGAGAGCTTCCTGGTTGATGTTCTTGATGTTGCGAAACTGAATGGTGCTCTGTGGTCTGAAAGAAAAGAATTTTAAATTGAGGTTGAAAGAAAGCAACAGGTGATCAGTAAAAGGAAGCTCATCAGAAGAACATTTAAGAGGTGAGAGACCAGAGCAACACAATAAGTCCAGAGTGTGACCCTTAATGTGAGTTGGAAAATTGATGAACTGCTGGAAGCCACAGCTGTCCAGGCAGGATGAAAAGTCTCTGGTGAGTAGGTTGTTGTCATCATCAATATGAATGTTGAAGTCTCCCAGCAGAACAATGTTGGGTGAAAGGGCTGAGAGGTAGGCAAGAAAAGCTCCAAAGTCATTTATGAAAGAGTTGTTTGGTTTGGGTGAGCGATAAATAGTGAAAACCATGGTGGGGGTAGGGCCGGATAGTAAGCAGACAGTCTGCTCAAAAGAGGTGGAGGGAGGTGTGTGAACTAGAGTGACCTTCCAGTTCTCGCGGTGAATTATCATGAGACCTCCTCTGCGGCCAGATTCACGGGATTTTGCAATATAAACAAACCCCGGAGGGGTTGAACCATTGAGATTGCAAAAGTCGTTTTGTTGTTGCCAGGTTTCAGTTAAGCAAAGAAAATCCAACTTACGGTCAGGGACAAGGTCCTTAATGAGCTGTCCTATGAGAGAACGAACGTTTAAAAGCCCAAAGTTAACAACGGAGGTGTTGGAGGTGACTGGAGGGTTAGCCGACCGAGCTAGGTTAGCTAACTTGCTATTGTTAGTGGCCCGGGTGTTGCGGCGTGGAGCTCGGTCAGCCCAGACAGAGTTTATGGGCTTACCGGAGGAGAATCTGCGGCGGGAGCCACTGTGTATATATTGTCATCGAGGCTGGAAGGCGATGTCCCGAGGAAGTAGTGGCGGTAATGGTGATGCGCCCGGTAGGAAGCGTAGACAAAGAAGTTCTGGTCCTGAGTAATGGAGGAGGCCGGAGACCCGATGGTGGACAAGCAGCTGGAGGATCCAAACCAGAGCGGGCAGCAGGTAAATCCAATTAATCCACATGGTTGATATTGAGATGAAGCAGGAACTTGTCATAGTAATCCACCAGTAGAGGATCCGTGATGGACAAATAAAATAGTTGATTAAGCCAAAAACAACAGAAAGTCTGATGAGCAGCGGCAGCCAGGAAGCGCCAGCGTTCACGTGCCGGAAGTGAATGTCATTTTAGAAGTTCTAATCACTTTTAGTACATACTTATAATAGTTGAGTATATTTTGTATCAGAAATGTATATTAGATACTTAAGTACAATAAATGTCTGATACTTTAAGACTTTAAGACAGTGGTTAGATGAAATTTTAACTTTTACCAAAATCATTTTATGGTAAAATACTTTAACTTTTACTCAGCTATCACCTTGAGGTACTTTATACATCACTGCATATCACCCACCACCTTTCAGGCCAGAATTTCAAACCATGATTGTCTTTTGTGTTTTCTAAAGTCTGTGACAGTCATCTTGAATTAGGTTAACTCAAAAGGTTTTTCTGATGCACATGAACACGTAGTTGTGAAAGTTTTACTTGAATCACAAACACACACAGGTGTGCCACACTCAGTTTCATGCGTTATTCATTCACACACTGTTGGTAGTAAAGTGCATTGTAGGCACAGCTGCCCTGTGGCAGACTGACAGAAGCGGGCCTGCCATGCACTGGCGCCACTAAACCCTTTGACCCCCATCACACAAGGCAGATGAAGTGTCTTGCCCAAGGATTGACCGGTTACATCCCTGACCACTCAGCCACAGCTGCCCTGTCTGTAACAGTGGTGTCCAGTCTTTGTTCTTAGGCCACTATCCTGCAAGTTTTAGATGTGTCTCTGCTCTCCAGCAGGTCTTCAAGTTCTGCAGAAGCCCATTAATCACTCATTTATTCAAATCAAGCATATCAAAGTGTCTAAAACATGCGTGATAGTGGCCCTCGAGGACCAGGATCGGATATCACTGATCTATGATAATCAGTGGTTGACTGAGACAGCACCTGTCCTCCAGAGCTTTCCGTTCACCCTGCAGGTACTGCTGGATGTCACAGCTGGAGTGCCTCCTGCACTCGCTCAGCTCCTGAGTTCCCGAGGTCCGACTGGAGCTTCTGAAATGAAGTTGTGCTTGTAGGTCTGAAAGCTGCTGTTGCTGGGCAGACCGGATTTGGCTACTCTCTTCTATCAGCTGGAGCATCACAGAGTTCAGTTTGTCCTGGAAAATAAACAGTATATTCATGTTCAGGGTCATATTTAGTTGGAAACCATGTTCCTAGAGCAGTCTCACCTCCTCTCTCTTCAGTGACTCCACTTCCCCACGCTGATTGTTCAGAGCTGCTCGACTGTAAGCACAGTCTCTGGCCACTGCGAACAGCCTCCTCTTCAGCCTCCTTAGCTCCTCTTGCAGGTTCTGTCTCTCCAGGTTCAGCTTCCACAGCTTCCGCTCCTCCTCTGCCATCTCCTCTCTGAGGCCATTTATCTCCCTCTTCCTCTCCCCCCGTCTTACCTCCTCTTCTCTCCTAAGAGTGTCCATGAGCTCCACAACTCTGCTGTGGATCCACTCCGCACTCTCCTCTTCCTCCTCAGTTCCTCCCTCGTCTCTCAGCTGCAAAACCTCCACCAGCAGCTCCTTCCTTCTTTTCTGCATCTGCTGCACCTTCTCTATGCAGTCTTCCATCCGAGGCCTTAAAGCCTTGAATTTGTCCACGTCAGAGCCCAGATCTGTGTTGAATTCATGTCCATCCTCACTCGGTAACTCATCGTCCTCTTCATGTCTCTTTGTGTTGGTGCTTTCTTCAAACATACATCTTGTTTGTGTCCTCTCATTTAACACTGGATCTTGTTCTGTGTTACCAACCTGCGAGCCTGATCCGTGTTCCTCTGGTTTCTCTGGTCTTTTTCTCAAGAAGCCACCGATTGTCTCCTCACAGCAGATTAAAGACTTCTGCAGGCTTTCACTTCTATCCCTGGTCTCTGAATTTACAGGCGGGGTCTTCAGCTCTCGTGGGCTCTTTGGCTTGAGTGTCTCATGTGTTGTGTCTTTATAATGATCAGGTATCTTACTGATGTGAACGTATTCTTGGCCTGTATCTGCTGCCCAGTCTTGAGACTCTTCCATGCAGCTCTCCAGCATGGCTAACGTTTTCCTTAACTGGCCCTCGTACTCCACCATGTTGGCCCTCAGTTTGCTTCCTGCTGAGGAGAGAGGCAGTTCCATGTGCTGATAAAACTCACACCCGTTGACGAAGTTGTCCAAGCATTGTCCTTGTGTTGTCTCATCTTGTGTTTCAGTCACGTCCACATGTGTGTCGATGTAGCCGGTGCACAGATAGGCTTGAGGAGGTGTATGGTTTTCCGTTCTGACCTCTTCGTCAGAACTCGATTCTTTCAGAAAGGCTTCGCTGTCGCCCACTGAACGACACGAGCCAAAGGGAACACCCGTGAGCTCTTCGCAGCTTTTCAGTAACTCGTCCATCTCCTGCAGGTACGGTTTTATCAGAGCTGATTGTTTGAGCGGTGACCCAGTGAAGCTGAGTCCAGAAGGGTTTTCATTGTCTTCTCTTTGCTCCACGGTGGTTCTGTCCAGATCTTCTTCCTCTTCTCTGATGAACAGTGGTTTGAGTCCAGTGGATGACATATCTTCATCCAAGTCATCTATTGGTTCAGCCAAATCTTTGAAGCCTGACTGGATGCAGTAATCTCCTTCAGATCTGGAAGATCCATTGAAAAAAGCCGATCAGTGTTAGCCTTAAAGAAAAGTAAATAATGTAATCAGACCCTTTTTTATGTGTAACAATGTAAAAGGTCTCATTGTTTTGTACAATTAACAGGCCTACAGAAGGGTTTTGTCAGTGTAAAAATGCTGTTCTATCAGGGACATAAAATGACCAAGTGTTTATTGGTGGTGAGGAAACACATTTCATGGGTAAAAATGTAGTTTTACTCTGATTTATAAACTGCAAATAATATATAACTGTCAATACAGTAATATTTTTGATAAAGTTCATCTCCTACACTAGCTTTGTTCACGTTTTTAACCTTATTTAACCTGTAGGGCCTTTTTGTTTGGTGGGTTTAAACAGGTAGCGTGATGGTCGATTAGGTCCCCAACCTACTGACTTTTGAACAACATTTGTCTTAATTGTTGCGTCCTCACTGGACAAATGGACATGTTGTATAAGCTCACACTCAAACTGGAGACTTTGATATGATTAGTTTCATTTTGAGCTGTCATTATTAATGGTTGGAGCTTCTTAAAGAGACAGAAGCCAGTTTCAAGGCATTTAGATCGACTGGGATGCAAAGTCTAATTTATTTTTGACAGAGTTGTAAAGTAACTAACTACAAATACTTTGTTACTGTACTTTAGAATTTTTGGGTATCTGTATTTTACTTTAGTTATTTTTCAGCCTACTTTTTACTTCTACTCATTACATTTAAAAAGGCAAGAAGTAGAAAGTCGTTACTTTTATTTCATTTTTGCTTGATTTCATTCCAGCTTATTATTGTAAAAAATAAATACTATCCATATAAATTGTGCCTCCTAGATGGAGTGAATTTAATTGTGATTGAATGAGAAGTATAAATATACAAAATTCTGATTCCGTATTAGTTTGTACACAAACAAATCACGTCACACTCCAGCAGGACATAACCTGGTTCTGGTTCATGCCTACTAAATGTCATTACTGAAAATCTAACTTCTAATTTAAATCAATACTTTTTCTTTTAATACTTAAGTACAAAAATATCAGATACTTTAAGACTTTTACTCAAGTAATATCCCTAAAAGAGACTTTAACTTTTACCAAAGTAATTTTTTGGTAAGATACTTGTACTCAAGTATCACTTTGTGGTACTTTACACAGCACTGATTTTTGATATGTACAGCATTTTCATAACAACTGAAAGTAACTGTTACTTGATTGTGGTAAAGAATTGAACTATGTGCCTGGAAAATACATAATACTTCCCCTATAAATGATATGATCCTCACAAGATGGATAATTTGGAACACACTGGAAAATTCTAGCACCAAAAACTCTCTATGACATAGTCCCTGGAAGGTGTATTTTAAGCTGAATATCTTCCATCACTGAAGACTTGTGTAGACGTATCATAATGTTGCACTTTTTAAGAAGTAAATACTGGGTTGGTTTTGTTCAATACTCAAAGATAATGCAAAACTCTATCCAACAAAACCAATGTTCTTAGTTCTAAGGCAGACATTTGAATCTTTTGCTTGATTGAGGTTGTTGACATGTTAATGGGAACATTTTGGTAATATTTTGGCCAGACTTCTTCTTTAAAGCTACACGATGCCATTGAGACTCTCAATAATGTGGATGGGAACAGTTTTGCAAAGGGCATGCTATTGACAGCTGTCTCTTTAGGCTGAATGCCCAGGCACTCGAAGCATGGGAATGTTTAGACACACCTCAGACAAGCTTAATCATGCATTCACATAAACACTGTGACGCTACTCAAACAGACAGATTTAGGCTGACGCTCCAGCAGGTGGCATTGGACAGAGTTCATGAAAGAAAGCACCATTGTGTTTATTGATGGACGACCATTTGCACTCTAGCCTGCTGGATAAAGTAGCTGTAATTTCATCCTAATAGGCCAGAATAGTCAGAGATCTCCCAAGAGGAAACTGATCAAACTGACCCAGAAGTGTCACCAGACAGAGATCCGTCTAGTAAAGAGAACATAGACGAGAAGACAGACAAAACAGTGACGAATTACACTGAAAATGCGTTTGTTTTAGCTGGACTATCTTTAAGAAGTCAGCATTATGGCCAAACAAAGGACCAGCTGTCTTGAGTCTGGACAGGTGTGGACACAAGACAGCATTCCTTCAGATCCCCACAAACTCTGAAAGCTCTGACCCACATTTAATGACGACCTAAATATTAACATTTCTTCCTCAGCTGCAGAAATTGCAAAGCTTGAGCATTCCTGAAGCAAAGGAGGCATAATTGATTTGTGCCACAATCGGGATTAAATTTGAATCATTTTTTCAATTTGGTAAATGAGGAAATAGATCGTAGTGTAAAGCTCTGAGTATCCTGTTTGGATAGAAATGTGCTAAATAAGTACAATCGATTTACCGTTTATCAATAAAAGAACCTGAAAAGTCTTAAAATCTGTTATAGTTGTACTTACAGTTTATCCACGATTCCTCTGTTCTTCTGCAGAATCTTGCTGTTAAATATGTCGAACAAGATGAATAAGCTGTGGATGGTGAGACAAAGGAAATGAGAGGGAATGAGCGGGACAAGTCTGTTCAGATGAACTGCTGGTGGT